ACACCACACACACACACACACTGTCTCACCATGTTGTTGTCTCTCTGGTGGAGGACTCCTGAGTGCTGGCTGAAGACATTTCACAGTCTGGTGAGCGCTCATATCGCCTCATCATCAGCTGCGAGCTCACTCCTCACAAATCAGTTTGTTTGCTTACACACACACACACACACACACACACACCACACCTACACACACACACAAACTGTACGTCTATTTGAAGAAAGTTGATGCACTCGGGATAAAGTTACGGCCTCTTCATGTTAATCCTCTGGGTTAATGGTTGTGTATGTGGGAGTGTTTGATTGTGTGTACTCAACTGTGGCACAAACATCCACAGATGCCAAGAACCTCAACAGGAGGTGGAAGGTAAGTAAATACTTTATAAGTACTGTACGTCAAATACAACCTTCCAGGTCCATTTTGGAGAGTTTCAACCAATGTGCAATGTGCACGTTACAGTTTGCAGCTAATTTATCTACAATTTGTGAGCAATAATCCTTTGGGAGTGAGGTTGGCAAGTATACAGGAGCCAGAGACCTGTATACTTGCCAACCCTCTCCTGGTTTCCTCCTGGGCAGAGGCATTTCCAGAAGGGGGGCCTGGGGTGAAACTAGATCCATTGGTATCTCGCTAGCATGTTGGCAAGGGGGCTAAATAATGCTCCAAAGTTAGTTCTGCATACTAGAGTCCCTAAACATTATCAAAATAACTGACTGACTGGAAAGCTGAGACACATACTTGATGCCACCACTGCATAAGTCAGTGCCCATCGTCTGGATACCCGACTGCTCCTGGGGTCACAATTCTCATTTATTTCTCCCAGTTTATGAAAAATGTTCACTGTACAAGGTTTAACTGCTAAAATATATGAGACATGGACAGGATGCATAGACAGATCTTTAACACAGACTCTGTTTGTAGCCTCAGTTGATTATAATGGATGCCCTCGGCTGCCATGTAGCAATATGTTAACTTATAACAGAATAAGGTTTTTACAGGAGGAAATACTCTTTTGGCACATTGTTTAACTTCTTTTTGGTCGATCCTGTTGTTTTTATTCATACTTCTGCTCATACAGTGTGTGTTTCTCTTTGATTCGACTCAGTACGTCGTCAGTCCACATGCGGCGGTGACGCAATCATTGAGGTCGAGTCTGTTGTTGTTGTGCATGTGTGTGAGCACCGGCTGCTATCTGGAAAACTATGCATAAAAAAATAAAGCAATGCAAGCTGCGTCCGTGTATTTTGGCTATAAGCTCTGTGACTCTATAAGTTGACTGTTTCCACCTGAACAATAGAGCTACACCAAAGTTGTTTCCTGGCGTGCACGTGGAGCGGAAGAGAGCTCTCGTCCTCCGCAGAGGGCAGTGGGGGTTCAGACTCTCTGAAAAACTTAATGAAAACTTTCACGCGATTTTACGCCAGAGGGCTGAATTATTCTATATTCTTTACTAAGTAAAATTAAAATGAAATAAAAAGTAAAATTAAAAGAATTTAACATAAAAAAAATGCTGTCATAGTGTAGGCTACTTATTGTTTTATAAAAGTCTCTGAAACTCCAATTTGGATTCAAAATCTTCTCTTTTTCTGGGTCGTATGGGCCCCTGGTTACTTCTTCCCATTTTATTTATTTATTTTTTTCTATATTCTTTTCTTTTTATTGATGAATTTCATTCATTTCATCTTCGTGTTGAGGCTATTGTCTCTCAGTTTTTAAAATTCCCTTTACTCCCTTCTTTCCATCCTTTTTTCTTTCCCACTCTCTTTAATTTCCCAACTGATCTGAAAACATGAAAATCCTTGAGGAGATCCATCAGGGTTTTCACAAAGCGATTACTCCTCTTGTGTGACAAAATAACAATAAAACAGCCGTCTCCAACTCGTTCATGAAAACTATAAAATACAGCGGAAAACCAGAAAATGGTCCAAAACAACCCTCCATGTTCAAACCTACTCCTCTTCTACTTGATTACATTTTAATGCTAATACCTTTACTTCTTTCTAAAACCTACTAAAAGGAGTTCTTAACTGGTTATGAAACTACTGATGCCTCTATAGGACCCTAACCACTAACCCTTAACCCTTAACCCTAACTCAAGACCATCAGTAGAAGATTGGCTGTATCTTTATAGTAATTTGGTTGGATTCTCCTTGAAATCCATGAAACTATGTAGTGGAAACACTCCTGCTTTTGTCCACAGCAGCCGACAGAATCAACACAAAATGAAAGTTCCTACTAGAGGCTTTAAGTAAAAACTCTTTTAAAGTATTTTTCGCTGTCATTTGGGGATATATTGTAGTTTTAAGTAAAAGATGTGAGTGCTTCTTCAAACTCTGAACCCCAGTCTGTGTAAATATGTGTGCAGGTCCTCCTGGTGTCACTTCATTCTCTCTGCTGTGCAGCAGGGAGGTCCGACTCTAAATTCACGAGGACCTGAGAGAAGCGGCTCTCTTCGCTGTGGCTAAATCTCTTTACACCCTCCGGACGCGTAGTCATTTTCTCCGCTGCCATTTGGGAGATGAATAACACGGATCTGCAGCCTCCAGCTGCTGAACAAAAGAGTTTGTTCCAATTTAAATATAGACTTAAACTGTGGCACTGAGCCGGGGGTTAGGGCGTGATGTGATTCCGCTGCAGTGAATGCGTTTAGGGAGCTGGGGCGATGGGACGCTGCTGCAGGCGAGACAACTGATACATGTCTTGGAGTATTTCTTATTACTTTTTATCATGCTGTGGGTTTGTCTTCTCTCTTCTGGCTGCTAAAGACTTGTTTTTCTCCACGCTTACTTTGTTTTCTGATAGATCCAACACTGAAAAGGTGGATTTATACCAGTTGCCTCTGGCAAATCTTTTAGATTTCACCTGTTGATAGCACCACCACAACACTAGAAGATAGTAGAAGAAGAATTATATAACTAACCACAAGTGTGTTCACATTTTTCACTCACTTTCTGACAGTGCTGATTGTGGCGAGCAGATGGTGTGTCATGTAAATGGATTTGCTCGATCACCAAATACATCTGGTGTTCCTTTACAGTCTTTCTTTTACACTCACATGGTGTTTTTATGTTTAAGTTCTCCAGTGGCATCAAAAACTTGTAGTGCAGGTCTTAACAGGTCCACTTGGCTCATAAAAACAGTAATAGTATATGTTAATATATCTAATCTAGGTGGACTGTCTTATACCTCTGATCACGTCTCAGTCAGAGTTAATCATTTAGAGGGAAAACTGTTGCAGCTCCAGGTGAGAAAACCTCGTGTCAACTGCATTTTAGACCAGGTATAATAATCCTCCGATCAGTTTTGGACCTGGTCTGGCTAATCATCACATCCCCTAATGAGCTTTTGTAAAATGATTTAAGTAGGTTTCTTACGGACCTGTGTTCTCACCTTTACTAACAGCCGTCTGATGTGTAATTACAGTTTTGAGGAAGAGCAGCTAGAACTACAGTAAGAAAATAACTAAATCATAAAGTAAAGAGTAAAATCCTCCAGACAGCACAAAAGTTTTCAAAATAACAAGTATGACCTACACATGCTGCCCTGTAAGTCACTCAGGATGTATTCCTGAGAAAATAACTCATTTAAAAACATATTCTGGCCTTTGGGATAAAAAACTTCCCCTCCCTTTGTAGCAGCGCAGCTTTCTTGAAAGCGTCTTTTTCACACTTTGCTAATGTGCTTAGCGCTCTGTCTGGCTGCCATTAGTGGAATTATGCTCACACAGCGGGTGTTAAACATTGTTTGGTGCTCCAGTTAATCAGCTTGTGAGAGCCACCATATGTGCAGGAAAGACCGGAACGCAATTCATATTCGAGTATTCATATACTGCAAAAACAATGTTTAGTATTTATCTGTACGTTACAACAGAATAGTGAGAACTGACTGACTGTGGGGGCTGGTTTGGGATGCTAAGAGGCCACGACGAGCAGGCTTAGATTCACCTTTTTGATCCATAATAATTCAATTTTGATTCGGAAAAATCAGGAGATGATGCCATCTTTCAGTACAAACTCTTCATGTGCGTACAGTCTTTCAGTAATCCTCAGCACAGATTATTATATTGAAAACTGTCCAGGACCAAAAGCTGGCATCAAATATCTGGACAGATTTGTAATCTTGTTTAATTCTGATCAGATAGTTCCCAATTTATTTAAAAAACAATTTTATTTATTTAAGATGTAGTATGTATGCAGCATAGCATAGCAGAAAATGCAAAAACATGATATTCTCTTTTATTCCATAAAAACCAGCGTGAACGGAGGTTTTTCTTACCGTAGGTGAGCACGTAGAGCGGCTTGCCGTTGGTGTCCATAGTGGTGAGGCAGGGGGCCTTCGGAGAGATGGTGCCCCACCTCTGCAGGGCCGCCTCCAGAGACGGGGGCCAGTTGGTTACGACGCCCAGCTGCTCGCCCCGCATGGCCACCATTTGGGCCCCCTCCGCCTTGGGCTGGTTGGGGTCTGGTTGCTGGACTGGGAGGAGAATAATGGAGAACAGTGAGAATAAATTTAGGTTTGTCCATTTTTGCATTGAATTTAAACAGTTAATTTCATTAGTTTTGTTTCTATGTGATCCCGGTGATCCAAGGACCATATTCTCCAGTTCAGGACGTCATCATTAATTTAACAATCACTAACCTCACACTGCAAAAATCATACATTCTTTAATTGATCAAATAATATTTGTAAGAAGTTTACAATAGTATAGTTCAGAGAGTTAAATCTACTGTACCTATGAAAATGGGCATGAAAAACATTTACTTCATGTTAGCTGTATCACAGAGGAAGCTAATAAGAAATAACAAAATATCACGTTGAACATTTTTGTGGCACGCTGAATGAAGCTCACTCTTTCCAACATTTGCTATACATGCTTAAATTATGAATTAACTTCTGGCTCTGCAGCTCTTGATGCTGGAAACAAAAGGAAATATTCATCAGTTAGACTCTGCTTTGTCACAGCAGACATTAGGGAATAAAGAACTGAAAAGCTCTGCTTAAGTAATTTAGTTGTATGGATTGTCTGTGATTTACAGCTGTTTATTCAGTGTGTTACCTTGAATGTCTCAACATGAGGAGCAAGGCATTAAAATACAGTGATGGGTGAGTCTGGTAATTTTAAAATTGTACATACTTTGGGGGTACTTTGGGTAAATGATGAATAACTTCAAATAGTTTTGTAATTGGTTCAGTAAGTCGCCTCAGATGGAAACCCCAAAAACGTGCTGCAACTGGATGTCGTAGTACGTCCGCTGCTGATTTTTGTCCTTGACAGACTCCGATTTTTATTCAAAGCGCCTGACATTACGCAAAGGATCTCTACAGAGTTTTTTGTTTAAGAGTAAGAGCTTTTATTATTCAGCCAGAAACAACCATTATACCACTTTGTTAAAAGCCACCAGACTCCATTGATAAAAACAGTAATTTCACGTCGCAGAACAAGGGAGGGTTGCTGGTCGATTGCTGCATCAATTGGTAAGTTTGTTTGTAACTTTGGTGTTTTTGTCACTTGTTGCTTTAAATGGAGCGGTATAACGACTGCTGCTGGTCAAACAAAAATTATCTTACTCATTTAGGGTTCAGTGCTTACTGGGGCCTTTGTTACAGTCATATTCTTTTTATATAATTGTGCTGCCAATACCACTGTCAGACGCAGCAGCATGGCCATTATCGCCACTCTTTCTCAACTTTTTAGGACACTGCTCCTTTAAAAGGAACATAAGTAACTGTCTGGACAAATATGGATGTGTTTTCTTTATTGTTCCAGGCAGCCATTAGTTTATATTTATTTATGCACAGCGTGACAATCTACGAGCCTACTCATGAAACTTCCATCCCAGTGGGATCAAGTGTAACTTTTGTCAAAGTTTCATTGTTGTTGTGCAGTCCAGACCTCATAAATAAATCTGCACTGAAATTGGATTACTGCTGAGAAATTATGAAACTGAATCAATGCAGAATTGATGTTTGCTGTGATGGATCACATAACTCAAACAAGTTTCATGAGCGCACTAATAGATGTTATACTATATAAAATAATGAGGAACAGCAGCTGCCTGGAGCTGAAGGAAAAATCCATCAAGAGAATTTAAAACTGTAAAGCGTGCTTTCAAAAGTGGTCAGAAAAACATGTAAATACTCTGATCTCTCTTAATGCTATACCCCTTTATCATTTCCTGTACCTGCATCCCAACAATCAATAATCAGACAATAAACAAAAGGAGTAGATTGCATGAATAGTTTGTTGAAAACATGTTTAAAGAGGCCCCTCAGACCTAACTTCAAAATACATTTCTAAGTAAAGAGAGTGAGGTTTTTACCTTCCAGGAGCTCCTCGAAGTCGTCGACAAAAAACTCTCTTAGTGGCGGCCGTTTGGGTCTCTTCAGAGTGTTGACGAGTTGCTGAATTTTGGCTGAAACTCGGCTGCTGACTGGAACACCTGCAGAAACCCAACACACACACACAAACACACAAACACACTCATATCAATGCAAGACCAAGACAAAACTCCTAATTGTGCTTTCACAGGTGCACACGTGAAGTAGTCACGTTCCACTGAACCGATATCCTGAGTGCATCGTGCCGCCACAAAAACATCCCCAAGTTTTACATTAAAGTGGCACGTTTCCCTCGAGTGAGCAATCAACGGAGCCGCTGCTGAACATGACACTCAGTGATGGGAGAGACTGGCAAATTGCTCTTTCATTGAGGCTGATTTTAACACAGACTGTGGCAGACTGCTGAGCTTCGAGACCGAGAGGTGGAGGGTGGAAGCCTGAGTGCTGAGAGCGGGAAGCTAATAGATTTTTTGGCAGACTTGCTTAGAGCCAGAGACAAAACTGAGTGTTTTGCCAAAGTCACCACGAAGAAGCTGGTGTACCGTCAAACCCTGTGGAGGCAGGTAGTGTTTGTCTCTGAATGCAACAGTCCAGAGTTGATTTTTATCCCTTCCTCGGTTTCCATCAGGCCGTGGGAAGAAATCTTCGCAAAGGTTGAACAGAATTAACTGAATGAACTTCCTTGAAAAGTTCCTGCTGGACAATGTTTTTCCAGTCATGTCCACTCACATCAATATTGATTTAATATGCAATCAGCCCACCTTTAATTTAAACACATTAACCTCCAACACACATACTGGAAGCGTCTGCAAAGACAGCTGGGTCAGATGGAGCTAAAATCAAAAAGGTGAATAACATAAAAATTCCCTTTAAAGTTTGTAAAATGTGAAGGAGAAAGATAAACACAAAGACAAAAAGTGATGCAAACAAAAATAAACCATCAAATAGGAGGTGCAGCATTTGCTCTGTGCAAAAATATTGGTCTTTTATTGGTTAAAATAATTAAAAATGAAAAGGGAAAATGTTAATAATTAAAAATTTAAATTAAAATAATTATTTTTACATTTTACTGGCACCCATTGAGAATGAATTGGATTATACAGTGATAATATATTCTTTTAAAGGCCAGTTATCCTTACACAAAAGTTCATATGTAAAGATATAAAAACTATTTGGAGGCACTAAACTGAAATCTCTGCTCCCACGCACTGAATCAAAAGGTTAAATCCTCAAAAATCTCAACCCTAAACACCCATTGTGGGCAACAAAGATGAATAATTTCTGATGAAATCCTCTCAGCGTTTTGAAAGAGAGCCTCAGCTTTGTTGAGTCTCTTTCAGCCAAACATCACAATAAGCTCCCATCTGTAAACTCTGGCACCTGATCTGTCAAGCTGCTTCGCTGTGAGCTGCGTTCAGCGTGTCCGTCCGCTGCGGCATCGATCGCAGTGTCTGATGAACGAGTCCGTCTGCTGCCGCTTCGTGCCCCTCCAGAGAGCGAATTATGAAACTATGAAACGTTCAAACTGAAGCCCTCAGTCATCTCTGATCTCTACGGAAATATCTGGATTCATCTTTTCAAACGCTGAAAAAGCATTTAAATCTGACCCAAATCTGACCACAAGTTGTTTTGATGTTAAAAGAGCTGAATGAGGATGAATTAGTCGACAATAAAAGAACATTTTGTTGCTATTATTAGTTGTTTTGTTGCATCAAGATCACTCTACAGCCACCTGTAGAGTGAATTGTGATGTGTGTTTTCCAAACTTTCTATCCTTTTATATTAAAAACAAAGTTTTTCTAAAGGCAGACAAAATAAAATACATTTAAAAACCTATAAAACAAACAATAAATAGTAACAGTAAGAAGAGATATAGGCACTGGAGGTGCTGAGGGGGCTGCTCGTTTATAAAAATGTTTGAATTTATCAGGACTTTTCTTTTTTACTGCACACACAGGCATTTATGGAAGGAAAAGTGGTTTCACCTTGCTTAGTTTATCTGTTTAATCTGCTAAAAGGTTGAAAACTTTTGTGTGAAATGTTAACTAGTAAGTAAGCTATAAATTATTCTGGCCATTAAAAATAATGCAAAATCAAATCAAAACAACCCTGAATTTAATGCATTTAGTATGTTGTTATATAGACTGACTTTCTCTCAGTAACTCCAACTCTGACTTTCCAGCATCCGTGGATACACTTACTTACTGAGATCTCCTCCTGATATGTATTAAGACATATATACAAATACTTGGAACAATAATGTCCAATATGTTTTCTGTAAATATAAAATATAATTTACACATTAAAATTCTTAAAACAGTCATCTTCTCCTTCTACCTCATTAAAAATCTATAAATAATTTTGTTAGTTTCTAAAGTTTTCCTGCTGGACACAAGATGTCTCCTTCACTGTAGTCCTTTCTCAGTGTCTGTGCATTGGTGGGTCACACTGTAGAAGTTGCATTATGGATCAGAACTGTGCACATACGTCATCATTCACTGTGAAGATCAAACATCCAACTGATTTCTGTCTGGAGGGGGACAAAAACACGTGGATACTCTGTTGGAGCAGCTGGAGGTGTGTCTTGTTACCTCCAGTCAGATTATAAATTTGAAGCCTCTATATATTTCAACACATGGATGTTCCTGTGTATCTTCATCACATGTCAGACCACAGAGTTGGGCCTGAGGCTACTGAACAAACACAACACACACACACACACACACACACACACACACACACACAACTCATGATATCCTAATACAAAGACAAAATTATTGTTAGGCATTTTTCCCAGACTCCGAATCCTCCAATCGCTCACCGGAGGTCACAATCAGTGAAGTAGGAGAGTTAAATAGAAGGAAGTGAGTCATTAAATGAGACCTCCAGTACAAAAGAAAGTCAGAAAATTGAAGTCTTCAAGACCTGAATTGTCTTTTGAATCACTTCTCCTGGTTTCATCGGAAGACAAAAATACAAAATATGACCTCCGGCAGTTTTAGGATATGAAGCAATAAAGACTCTTTAGAACATCCGAAGTTAGTGTTCACCTGTTACATCCACAGCTGTAATCCTGCATTTTCATTGTGTTTCCTTGTGTTCAGTGGTAGCATGCTTTTAAGGCATCCTTCGTGTCTTAGTATGTCTTAGTTATATAGTTTCTTGTGTAATACTCCTGGCTGACCGAAACTCTATTGCTTAAGGACTACACCTCACCTGTCTGCCAGTTTTCTACCAGCCACCTTTCAGTAAGCCACCCACCTTTCATCCACAACCCTCACATCTTCTCACCTCAGCAATGTTACTGGAATAAAACCTACTTATCTCACCATGCTTTCTACCATCTGTATCCTGCATTTGGGTCCATCCATCGACCAAACTTAACATCACCTGTTGAATGCTGGCATTAAAGCATCTCTTTGTGTTATTATGGTTATGTGTGTCTTTCTTAATCAATAATAAATCTATTTCAAGTTGACCGAACAGCTTTCTGACAACTGCTATTTATACTTTAAATGTTCAGTGCATTAAAAAGCTGTTAACTAAGCTACATATATGTAAATATTGTCATCATTAAATGAGGGAATTTTCATTGTTAATGATTCAAGGCATGAAAAAGGTCATACTGGAATATAATAAATATTGGTGGCTAAACCATTAGAGGAACTGCTTTCTGTTATTAGTCGTGTTTCCAATCAAATGTATTGCAAATTTTAACCGAATTTCAAGTAAATCTGCAAAAGAAATGCAACGAATACTTGTTTCCATCTACAACCGTTATGGGAATATTGAGAGTTGGTTCATTGAGATAAGCAGTAGATAGGCTAATTAAGGGGGTGTAACAAGATGACGTGATTTAAAGAGCACCAGTTGAACCTAAAACAGTAAAAAAGAATAACTCAAAAACAAATAACTCAGAAAATGCAAAAACCACCTCCGTTTCCATCAACATTTTTGAATACTTCAATATGCACATATAAATCAGTTAATGGAAACACAGATCGTGTTACCATAATAATTTCTGCTACCCCCAAACTCTTTTTCCAGCCCGACTCACCGTCTCCGGTCTCCATCAGCTCGGCGTTGCCGTACTTGGGCGTCTGTCTCTGGGCGGCGGTGCCGGCGCCTGGGGCTCTCTCCACCTGGATCCCGTCGGCGGTGGTGTTGGCGGTGTTGTTGGTGTAGCCGGTGACATCTGGAGGGGCAGAGTGGTTCTCTGGGATGTGAGAAAACGGGGGGGATCGAGGAGGGAAGGAAGGCCTGGTTAGTTCCCCCACACCCCCACACATCCTGCTGTTAAAACAGTTTTAATGGGGACTCTTACAATCAGGACCAGTTAGACAGCATAGACTCATGACAGAGTTTGGGGTTAATTATCTGGTTCAAATAGACGTCCTGCTGTTATAATACATAAATACTTTTAAACCATGAGTTAGACTGAAAAACTACAGTTGTAAAGGCTGCAAGGAGAGTAAGAAATTAACAGTTTTCTCCAGAAAAGTAATTCAAACAGGAAGAAGCACTGAAAGCATTTGAAGTGTCAGCCAAGGTTGAGGGACTAAAGCTGTGCAGTTGAAGTGTTCATGCAAAGTTTATTGCACTGTAAGGGTGGATAAATGCTAAGATGACAAGTACTGTAAGCAGTTAACGTGTCAGTTGAAATGTCTGTTAAACTGCAGCCTAAGCACTGAAAGCAGTTGAGGCGTTTGCAGCCACGTTTCCATCCAAATGTAATGCAAGTTATAACAAAATTTCAAGCAAATCAGCAAAATAAATGTGAATTAATGTTTGCTTCCATCCACTACCACTACGCCATTTTTAGGAGTTTGTTCATCAAGATGTGCAGTAGAAGGCGCCAACAAGATGACTTAATTCATAGAGCACCCCCCCCCCTTCATGTATTAATGTGAGGAGGGTTAAATCAGATCTGTGTGGAGTGATCATGAATAGTCTTGTGAGTTAAATGTTCGCTACAGAACTTATTCAGAAGTGTTTCCATTTCACATTAAGCGCATTAACTCTTTTTAAAAAAAGGAACAAAAATCACCTCAAGCGAGCATTAAAACTTCTTGTTGCAAATTTTGCGGTTCTCATTTAACTTTTCTAATGCAAAACTACAAATGGAAACATGGCTCATGATGAAAGCAGTTAAAGTGTCAGCTGAAATGCCAACTGAACTAAGTGCAACAGAGCAAACACTGAAATATTATAGTGGTTAACTGAATGAATGTAAACTGAGAGGTGTCTTATGCTCAGTAACGTCAAAAACAAAACTGATTCCTGTTAAACTTGAAGTTGGATGAAATTGGATCTGTGTGATGTTGGTGTCCAATTATAGAAAAACATGGGTAAGAAAAAGGAAAATCAACATAAAAATTATGAAGTTAATAACTTGCAGCCATTAAAGTGACTTTCAGTTTGCAGCTAAATTGAAGTATAATCCTCCAGATGCAGTTATTTACTCTCAGACTTATGTGATTGCTGCTCCCTAATGGACAGCGAGACAACTAATATGGTTACAGAACAGTTGCTTGGTGACAAATTCCAGGTACTGCAGCATTTGTGTATCAAACTATTTAAGCAGGCAGCGTTTAGAAAATAATCACTAGCACTGACTGGAAACAAGCAGCTAAAACACACCATGAGGAGTGAGTACAAGGTATTTGAGCTTAGAGGATCTATCATCGACTTCCTGCAAAGATGCCTTCAGGAAAATTATGTTTGGGTCTTGGTGATCAGACACACTTCAAAAAATATAGTCATTTCCTCACGGCTCCTCGCGCCTCCACAGACCTCTCATTTCCAACTACCCACCACCACATACTGCGACGCCTGCCTTTCTCTGAGGAAGAAAGAAGAAACCCCAGACTCCGTTCCCATCAACACCCACACCTTAACATCCATTTTTGTGCTACATTTAGATTGTGTTTCAGCCTATCTGGCACACCTGATGTTTCAAAGCTATCCACCATGCCTCACATTTACCTCTTTCATGATGCTCAGCTGCTGTTCGACGACATCAAACGGTGTTTACTGTTCTGCCGTGGGGATTCTTTACTTTGAGTGGTCGGAGCATGAAATGATGCAGGGAGAAAGATGTGTGGTGAATCTAAATAGGGATATGTGTGTAGGTGCAGCCCGCTGTGTCGCTTACTGTCCCTATCTCAATCAATTTAGTTCAACTGAACTTACTTACAGTGGGGCAGTCTGTTTGCAGCTGTATGTTCTGCTGTTTTCTCATTACGTGTGTCATTTGCATCGGGCTACTGCTGCATTAACATTGTTAGCATGTTAAGATTGATTTTATCTGCTCAGGTTACAGCGTTGCAAGGTTCTCTATGGTCCAACAGGGACAATTTATGCCTTTTAGGGGTTTGAACCTTTGATAAACCCTTTCTAATTGTTGCTTAATTGATCACTGGAGGTCAGGGGTCAGGTTCAGGTGTAGAACACGAACCACAGAGCTCATGAGGGTTGAAAATTCCTTAAAATTAAAAATGTGAGTTTCATTTTGCATGGACATGGGAAGTGGTGGAGATGATATGCTTGAAATCCAAGATAAAGTCATGAGAAAGCTGTTGCTGCCATTGGAGCCTAATAACAGAAATGGATCTTGGTTTCAAAACTGTGAGTGCAAAGTCATGTTTAAGAAGAAGTGAATGTCGATGATAAACAAGAAAGAGCTCAACATGCTAACTGGCTAAAAACTAACAGTGGAACAGAGGCGTAAAGATTAGATCATGAATAATTGCCAGGAATATGATTTTGTGATATTTTTGTAAAATTTAAACAAGACCTGAAACTGGAAAATGATTTTGTTGTATGAAAACCAAAAGTAAAGGCAGGATATTTGTAATTTTAGAGTCAACAATAGAATAGAAGTCATTGGATGATTAAGGGCTGGATAGAAACCAGAGGATCTGCATCCTTTGTACTGACGTTTGGGAGTATCATATTTTGTTTGAATGTAAGAATGTAAGCAAATGAATCATAGAGAAAGGTATTTGAAAAGATTATTGAAACAGCCCATCTATGTTTAAACTCATGATTTTATTACAATCAGATATGCCTGATTTATAAACTATGTGCCTTTCTGAAGAACGTCCTTCCAAGAAACATTTGTTTGACTTTACTATTACTATTACTTTATCTTCTATTTGTGCTCCATGTGATCCTGATCCTGAGTCACATAAACAAATTCAAGGAAAATGAAATCAAGTATTCCAAACAATCGTCTGGTGATACTGGGCCACTGTACTGCCTTGAAAATCAACTGCATAATATCAAATATGTGATAAATCAACAGCAAATTTCAAAGATGAAATACAGGAAGCTTAATCAAAAGATGAACCTCATTAATCTTTGTAGAATTTAATGAGCAGTAGAGGGAAAAGTATTAACCTAATCAGTATGTATAAAAGATAACTAATTTCCTGAAGTCCAGAAAAGTTGAGCCACACATTTTTTTTATTTAACTGCATTGGGAAGTATGGAGGACGTTTACCTCTTTGCTTTACGATACTTCTCAAACGTCCTCCAAGAAATGGACGCTGAGAGAGGTTTCCACTTTAGATTATTTAAACTTGAACCCCTTGACTCCCCACTCCCTTTTTTCCTCTCGACTTCCCACATAGAGCTCCGCTGCTCGAGTCAAGGACCAGAAAATAAAGAGGATCAAGCCACTTCAGCCCACCGAGCTTCACAGAGTGAAGGTTCCCGCGGTGAAAAGGCAGCAGATCAAGTTACATCTGAATGCCTTTTTTTTTTTTTGTGTAGTGGTGCTCATGTATACAAAGAAAAGCACTTCTCCATCTCTGGGGCTGTAATTGAATCCACTAATGAGTAATTCTTTTAAAATCAAGCTATTCGGTAAGCATGGTTTTAATATAATTTAATAAATGACTCAAAATCGTATAAGTAATCTTATTACATCATTTACCTCCTTTTTTTAGTCGCCTAGGAGAGATTAGGGTTTTTATTTCTCATTTAAAGTGAATGAATGCATTTCATGTAGACTCTCTAGTAGTTTTCATCCAGTGAGAACCTTTAATATTCTCTTTTTTAGTCCTGGATATTTTGATGGCTGAACTTGTGGAGTCTACAGGAAAATCTTTAACCACCAGGACCCACTTCTATATGGAGCTACAGTGACTACAAACAGTAAGAAAATCATAGTTTCATGATGTTTCTGTTATTTTGTCTCTTTGGTTCTGACAAACAAAAATGTTTAGTTTATTAAAGTATTTTTTGCCAATAGATCCTCACAAATGTCCACACACTGGACAGCAATCAATAAGCTTGGAATCAAATATAATATATAATATAAAATATAAATACTTAGGAAGCATTGAATAGGCTGAAGTTGAATGTATGAGTCAAGCTGGTCAATACTAGTTCTCCTTTAGACCTGCCTGCAGTCCACTACCTCAACAGAATAAGACATGCAAGCAGATCAGAGCTTCCAGATTCACAAACGACCATTTCTGTGGTAGGTTAGCGAAGGCACATATGGATAAGGAGTTAAAGAAACAAAAACCTCAAACTGCCAGCGATAGAACAAAGATGTGTTTTTGCTCTGATCTCCCTCTTACTTAATATTTCATCATCATTTGTTCTCCGTGGGAGATGAAACGCTTGCATAAGGACCGTTACATGGCTTTATAATGTAAAATATGTACACCATGCTTACTTTGTACTGTATGTTGAGTTCAACCTTAATTTACACTAAAAACGAAGGCTGTTTAAGCCAGATTCACATGATAAAAACATTACTATAAAGGTCCAGTGTGAAACATTTAGGAGGATTTATATAATATAATATTCATAGGTATGTCTTCATCTGTGTATAATCACCTGAATATATCAATCGTTGTGTTTTTGTTACAGTTTTTTTTATCTCCCTCTGTGGTTTCTGCCATGTTGAACCGCCGCCATGTTTCCACAGTAGCCCAGAACAGACAAACCAAACACTGGCTGTAGATACGGAGTTTCGCAGCCTACGTAGTTTCTACACACTTCACAGCCCGTTCTCATTTCAAGGTCTTCAAATACAAACGCGAGCAGTGATCAGTTAGTTGCAATTGGCGACTTCACTGCTGGATGCCACTAAATCCTACACACAGGTCCTTTAAATTCAGCTCACTAGGTACTGTCTCATTAGTATCTAAGTTCTGTGTCTTCTTCCAGTTGAACTTTAATGCTAACAAACCTACAGCTTTTTTTGTTGCACACAGTGATGATTTTGGAAAAGTTTGTTCTCTTCCATTTTTGTCACGTCTTCCGTTCATTTATGCCAATAAAGTTGACTGAAATTGAACTGAAAGGCTGAGAAAGATATATAGTGACAGAAAAACAGAGAAATAAGGGGTAGGGAGAGGGAAATGATTCCCAGTAAAGCACTGAGCCAGAGCCAGCGAGACCAAACAGAATTCTTTCTCCAGACATGGACTGCATATCAATACTGCAGCACACAGCACAGGCATGCTAATTACTGTAGCACGCTGTGTATTCTGTCTCTGCAACATCTGGCCTGTCTACACTGAGCTACACTGAACTAGACATGCACTCTCTGAAGTCGTGGTTTGTGTCTTTCTGGGAATGTGTGTGTGCGTGCACGAGTATCCAGTGACCTCATCAGAATGTATTTATGATGATGTGTGACAGGGAGGAATATCAGCCCTGGCTGATGATGATGATGAATGCCTCCTTCACTGCTGGAATACCAATCAGGCCCGACTGAGGGACCTGATTCAGGGCCGGGATACTTCCATCTCCCCCACATGGGTCAAGGAGGGTTTAAAGGCAGCTCAGTGGTTAAAGATTCAGCGGCTGAAAGGTCACACGTTGCCATAAGAAATGTTTTAGTGTTTCTGTGGATACGTGTGTCACCCAATCAAGAGACAGTTTCTTGACGAGCATGAAAATAGTGATTTAGATGTAGTTAGTGTGATGGTTGTTAAACCAGCACAGAAAACCGATGGAGAAGTATGTGTTTGACTTTGATATTGGAGACTGCTGCTTGCATCCCATTTCCTACCAAATGTCAAAGCCAGGGGCGTTTCCAGAGGGGCAGTGGCCACCCGTGGAATCTGACTGGCCACCCCATCATCCTCTTCCACGCTACATTGTGTTTCAGAGGCTGTAGCGGTCTCTGTTTTAAAGCTACTGGAATCAGTATGACTTAACGCATCCATTGGTACCAACCAGACTGTGCTAGCATGTTGGCAAGGGGGCTATATAACGCTCCAAAGGTAGGATACATTTTGGCAATGGAAAAACCGGTGTGGTCATTTTCAAAGGGATCCTCTAACCTCTGACCTCATGAAATCTTAATGAAAATTGGTTCTATGGGTACCCATATGTGTCCCCTTTGAAGACATGCCCACTTTATGCTAATCCCAAGCAGTTTTGGGGCAGAAACAATGCAGTTTATTGCATGTGGTATAAAGTGTTACATTTGAATATTTCTGCATACTGGGGTCTATAAACTGTGTTGGAATTGCATAAATTGGGAATAATTGGAAAGCTGAGACCCACTTGTGTCCACCCGGACAAAAAGTCTGGAAACGCCCCCGTCAACGCTAGCAACCAAGAGGGTGAAATTTTCCAAACTTTAATCACTCACAGATTGAATGTTCATTCTTAAGATCTAGAAGGAATTTTCAACCTCAGTGTTTAAATCAGATTTGGACAAGAAGTCTTTAAAGTGCTGGGTAATTGCAATGACTTATGGGCAAACTTACTTGAGTAGAACTCCAGAACAGCTACTGAATGGACTTTGTGGCGACGTTGCTTTGTCAAATTAAATCAAGTAGTTTTAGGTTGCTTTTCATGCCAAACCGCATTTTTCTATACATCTAAATCGAGAGTGCAGATGTTGTCATATTGTATGTAGCTTATAAAAATCCCTCTGAACCAAATTCATGATTTGATATAATAAGTATGTGAGTGCAGAAACGTTTCCTGACACGTCATATGTAAAAAAGGGTTAAAACACCAGCGTGTTGTGCTTCTTGTGCCAATCTCCAATTCTACAACAGTTCCTAATTAAAAAGCAACTTGTGTGGAAATAGCCTTGAAAAGTCAGCTGTCAATCTCAGGTCTAAAACTTTTTAATTTAACACACAAAACACTACTGATGTTACCGTACTTTATATTTCCACTTTTAAATAAATCTCTTTGTTCTTCCTTTGGGCCGAGGTTGTGACTGCGGATGGTCGTGCTGTTGAGGCGCCATACAAAATGTAACTTGCCTTGCATTTAAATCTTCATCCTCTCGACCAGCGAGCTTTAGAAGGAGAAACTGTACTTAAGTCAAGAAAAGCTCGAATAGGGAAGAAAACCTCAATCAATTTTCTCATTCATTGCGACCCTGCAGCGAAAAACTTCTCTCACATCAGCGTTAACAGACACCTGATGAATAGCATCCAGGAACCTGCTGTTGCTCCCAAACTGCTGAACTGTTATTCCTCAGAGACCACAGCGTATTCCCTTGGCATATACAAAGCACTGACAGGGAAGCTGAGCTACAATCCCAGCGGGCCTCATCCAGACGGCAGCCTTAATTACATTGAATACGGGAATGCTTCCAGGACGGTGTTAATGGATTCAGATTCTGTATTTTATTTTTTTTCTGACAATGATGAATAGCTGATTAAAGGTCTGGTCCTAATCTTTTTCTTTAAGTGTATGCTCATTGTTCACTCCAGTGTGGATCACTCTGTATTCTCAAGCAATCTATGGAGGGAGCCACTTCAGTAAATGAGTGTGTCAGCTGCTGCCTTTTCACATGCCAAGCATCGAGTTGGCTGATGGAGTCTTCAGGTTGTAGCTCTTAAAAAATGCAGAAGGAACATTACTTGATGGGTCCGTATTATTAAATTCTGGCTGTTAATTGGGACCTTTCTTAACCAGACACAAATACTGTATCAAACAAATTAGCCCCTGCTTTTGATTCTACAGCAGATTTTAAGAATACTGCATGAAACTAGAAAGAGGAAGCAGGTAGACAGCCGGCATTCCTCCACCATCTGCTTTCTGGCTTAGATAAAAAAAAATCCGTTTCAAAAGCAGATTGCCTCTGGCTGAACAAACAACTCAAAACATGCTGCATAATTAGCCAAATCAATACACAACACCAAACAGAGTAACCTTGAAAAGAGAGAGGACTCAGTCATACAAGCTGCTGTTGAGCCTCTTTAAAAGCATTGTTGATTTTCCTCATCAACAATTCACGCTCTTAAAAGCTGTGAGCACCAGCTTTTTAAAAATAAAAAAAAGAATATCCACACAGAAACACTTTGCTGTCATGCATCTACAACAACGCTCAATGCTATTCCTAGTGAGGTTAGCATTGAAAGGTTTTCTTGACACGGGTAAGCACGAATTTAATTAGCAGGGAAACGTCCAACGAGGGTCACAACTTGAACAGCAAGCATACGACGGAGGAGACCGGGGGGGGGGAGAGTCACTGAAAATTATGAGGGAAAGATACGGCATCCCTGCCTCGAGCCAAGGGATGGCAGCAGACTGCAGACCCAGCTTCTCGGCTCTCTGCCAGCCATGCTCCGATCTCAACTTACCGGAGCGTCGCGGCCCAGAGTTTCCATTCTCTACCATAGCAGCTGGCACTGCCCTCCTCCTCCTCCTCAAGGAGAGGTGGCTTAAAAGGCCTGCATGTGAGGAACAAGAAGGGAGGGGAATCTTGAAAAGTGGCGTCAAGTCGTGTGTCATTCAGGAGCCTCACTTCAGAGCGCTGCAGTCTGTAGTTACCACAGCGTTATATCCTTAAAAAGACACATTTACCTTCAAAGACACTTTATTCTTGTAAAACTGGATAGTATTTAACTTTTTAGTTAAACCTGTTAAAAAAAAGGATAATGATTTGAAATTGGCCAATCAAATAAATCTTGACATTATGAATAAAGTCAATAATCAATACAAATATACCAAGGGGCAATGTAGAATTGTTGTTCTCAAGAAAAAGATGGTAAGAGTTTATTTTGGTCAGTACGAAGGATGCTTAAGATAAAAAAATCAATCAATCTGTCTCAAAAGGGTTTTTAATGATCACATAGCAACAGCAGTAGCACAAACAAGCACTTACCGCTGTTATCCAAAACAAAAGAGGTACCTAGCGACACAAACGCAATGTGCTCTATTGAACAGAAACTCAGCCGAAAGTCAACCCTAACAACAGATTGTCTGCAGTGATCCAGTAAAAAGGATCTGCAACCTGCAGGAAAACGTGGACAGATGAAAGGAGTGACGATAAAATTGGGCAAAGGAAACAAAAAGTTATCAGCACGAGCAGGCAGAGCTGTTCTGATAAGGGGTTGAATGAAAAACAAGGCCGTCTCCCTGAAGCATTAACACACACATAGACTTAAAATGCTTTAGAGTTGGGGCTGCTTTGGCCTTGGACAAGGAAATGAGAAACAGGGCTGTAACCCACACGTGTGCACGCCGCTGAGGATTTCCTCTGTGATAAACATGGAAGAAAGGACTCAATGAAACTTCACTCTAGTTGAAAAATGTACAACATGATGGTCGCCATTACTGCGGTGGCGTTTCTCTACAGTATGCACGTGTTTGAACGCAAGCTGTCCTAAGAACATACAATTTTCTACTGTATCTAACTATATTTACAAAATATTTACTAATATATCTGGTCCGTGATGATTAAATGCAACTCTAGAGAACTTGAGGACGATCCACTCAGCCAGACCGACCACACAGAACCAGCCCATCAACAGTGGGTTGAGTGTCAGAGAGGAGCCATGCTGGTCCAGCTTGGACTTAAGGCTGCTCCTGGCTAATGTCCGGTTTCGGAAACTTTTCCCTTTCGGGACTCAGGCTGGCAGAACAACAGGAAATCAGAGACTGTTGTGCCCACATCATTACAGAGACCTGTTCCATCAACATCCTGGATCAACACTCAACGGGAGGACGGTGTTCTGAGCCGAGAGAGCTCAGGACGAGAGGTGTTCAAATGCAGTCAAACCGGATGGACACTGTTTCTTTTTATGTGAAGATGAAACCATTTTATCAGCACTACCTTGTTACTGCTGTCTACATTCATCCAGATTCAAATAATAAATAACTGTATATGTTGATTTATGTTGTTCTATTTTATTTATCTTTTTCTATGTGTGTAGCATGAAGGAACTACAAACTTTCATTTTGTTATACAACCTTGTGTTTTATAATGATCAATACATTTCCTTGATTATGCTTGCCAGACAGTACAGTAGTATTACACCGTACATCACTTGAAACCTTCATCAGTAACTGGGGGCCACTGCCTGACGTCCAACTACCCGACGTCCAACTACCCATGCTGCTGTCATAGAGTCGCTATGACTTGCCACTGCAGTAATGGCGGCGCCAGCGTTAGATGGTCGATGATCGCCCTGAATGCAGCATTAGGTCTAACAATAGTATCCACCAGAAGACAGTTTCATTCATAGAAGAAGGAATCTCTTAAGTCTTCCTCCCCAAGATTTTCTCTCAGGTATTGCCAACTATATCTGCCAATTATGAAGCAACAAGCTATGTTCAGCTATGAACCAAAACTAGTAGATAGTTTAGATACTTTTCTTGCTTGTTTGAGTTGAATCAAGATGCAGATGGGTGAATTTCACCACAAATGCCAAATACAGACAGTTCATTCTACCTCTGACCACTAAAAATGTTCCAACACAGGTTTTCTTCCAGTATCTTTACCGTCTTTCTCAGTCCCCCCTTTGTACCAAACTGAGTGCCATTCTGCCGAGGCCCACATGCTTTTTGCAGCAGCTGCTCCGTTGGAAATGTTCTTTTTTGACTTTTGCTAATTTGAGACTGCAGGGAACGGCGACACGGGAAACCGGTGGAAGCAGGCCCAAAACAAACAAAAGTAGCAAACCAACAGAACCTCTCCTGTCACATCTGAGCGGCGAAGGAGCTGAATGCTGGCTGGGCAGTGCTGGCAGGGGCTCTCTCTGTGTCTGTCCATGCATTATCTTCAGAGCTGGATACCAACAGTGCCAGCATGAAAACAAACCTGTCACCGCCAAAGCATTTAGTCACGACGCCACCTCAGCAAACAGTGGGGAAAAGGCACAAACAGGATTCTGTGACAGCAGTAGGACAGTTTTTCCTCTTCTTTCTTTTTATGTGTGCTCTGTATGTTTTGAACATGAGTTGAACCAGTTGGAAAGGACGATTAGGAGTTCACAATCTGTCCTTTGGTTAGTAAGTTTTCATGTTTTGGTTTTTTTATGCACTGCAAATATAGTCTTGCAATTACCAAATGTATTAACAGTATATTTACAGTTGTTGCTATATTTTTTTCTGGTCTTATTTTTACTATATGGTTATAAATAAGATAATTGCAAGAACCACCATATTGGTTTCTTTTTTATTTAATAAATTGTCATGGTTTTATTGCTATTGTGGCAAAGCATTTCTGGGTAACATTTGAAAAAAGAAAACATCTCTCTACAGAAATGATATTGAATTGTTGAATTAATAAAAAAACTTAAAATTACTTGTTCTATTCAGGAGGATCTATTGGCAGAGATAGATAGAATATAGTTTTCATTAGTGTTTAAACACCTGAATAGAGGACTCATTGTGTTTGTGTTACATTAGAATGAGACGTTTTAATCTACAGACGCCATGGATCGCCTTCCATGGAGTCGGCCATGTTGAACCGCCATGTTTCTATAGAAGCCTAGAACGGACAAAGCAAACACTGTTTAATATAGAGGCTTTTCGGGGGGGGGGGGCACTTCACGGCCCGTTCTCAATTCCATGTCATCAAATACAGACGCTGATGGTGTTCAGTTAGTTGTAATCTCTAACTTTACCGCTAGATGCCACTAAATCTTACACACTGGTCCTTTAAATCTATGGAGAAAATAGTATCAGCAGGGCTCGAAAGCCCAAGGTCATCGGATTCATGGAACATACCAGAGACAAAGATAAGTTTCATTTAAAGTAAGAAAATAGACAATCCAAGTACTGTAGTAATTGACGGATAGCAGGACGGAGAGCAAACACAGACCACAGTACAGGAAGTGGAAGAACTGTAAAACCTGCATTTACACACTGTACACAAGGATACGACCCTTCAGCTAAACACACTTTACCACCCAACATCCCCAGCTCACACATTCAAACTTCAAAGACTGAGTGGTAAGCCCACCCACTTACTTACTGTATGCAGATCCCTCCACACACACACACACACCACACACACATCACACCACCCACACCACGAACACACACACGGCACACCACGAACGACCAGCAGCAGCACACGACACGACACCAGTCCTTCAAGCCAAACACGCTTTTATTAGAAACCTCTCAACTTTACCTACAACTAAATAAACTCAAGGATCGTTGTTTTATTTAAAAACCAAATCAGACGAGCTTTGAAGTTCTGCTGCAGTTTTTGGCCTTGTTGTTCCCAAACTGGGATTCAGGGACCTTCATGCAGTCTTTGGAGGACTCTGGGCCAAACTATGCAAGAGTTTAAGTGCATTGTTGATATTCTGTTGTCAAGAAGCTAAAATTAGGAGAAATATATCTGTGAAAGACTGCTTTAATTTGGGGTTATGCTCACAAACAAAAGAAATATCCTTTTAGACGATGATCCCCAGTACCAAACATTTATTGGCTGGTGGTCTGGCGAACTGAAATAATAATAGTTCAGAATCCAAATTTGAGATAGGTCACTTTTTATCTACACATATTTTCTTCCATGTTGCATTTTAAAATAATCCTAATTATTCGGTGTGAAGCATTTTGCCCTTATGCAAATATGTCTTTGATGCTGTTGTTATAAATTCTTTTAATGGTAAAGTTTATGTAAAGCACTTCGAAACTGTCTTTTTGTATGAATTGTGCTTCGCTTCCCTTTTGGGATTGAAGTTGTGTTTAAATTGGCTTGAAAGCAGTGTCAGGGACATTTCTAGAACCTATTAATTAACAATCATGCAATGGCACAGTAATAACTGAATACTGATCCCTCCCCTTCCTAGTTGTCCATTTTTCCATCCAGATTTTACATGAAAACAGAACCTTTTGTTAATAAGCACATGACTGATCTGAACCCCTTTAATCCTCTAAATGAGAAGCTAAATATGATTTTCTATTTCAGGGTTTTAGAAAACTACAAACAGAAAAGCAGTTGAGTCTGGATTTGATCAGAATGGATGTTAAAGTTTGGCTAAGATAAAGTTGTCTAGAGTTTGTTACAGGTGTCTAAAGGTCAAGAGTCAACTGTTTAATCGTGTCGACATTTTGCCAAATCTAGATATCGATTTGAATCAGTCTCAGGAGGTGCCTTAAGGGTTTAAGATGGATTAGGGGTTGCATGTGGCTGAGCAGCTCCCTTTTTGTTATTAGCTTGTCTGGAGTTTCCTAAAAGTAAAAGTGTCTTGTATTTAACTGGCCTTTCTTAAAGGTGTCTGAACTGTGCTAAAGATGTATCTAGCCTTGGCTATGGGTCTCTTGAGTTGGTGTTTCTGGACTTGGCTGAAGGTATTTTGTCTTTACTGAAGATGCCTTAACACTCAGTAAGGGTGGAGGGTCCAGACTTTGCTAAAGATGTCTGGATGCGGTTAATGACCTCTGCTAGAGTTATCTGTAATTTGCTTAGGGTGTTGTTGGTTTAGGCTGTCTCTTGTCTTTGCCAAAGGAGTCTTGTGTTTTACTTGGAGTGTTAACATTTGGGTGAAGGGTTCAGGACTCGCTCTAGAATGAGGGACATCCAGACTCAGTCATAGCTTCTTACCTGTCTTGTGGTGGTGGTGGTGATGGTGGTGGTGGCGGAGGTGGTGGTGGGCAGAGATGTGGATGTGTTGGGCCAGGACGTCAGCCAGCCTGCCGCCGGCTGCCCCGCTCCCCCCGCTGCGTGTGGAGGAAGAGGAGGAGGAGGCCGTGGAGGAGGTGGTAGTGGTGGTGGAGGAGGTGCCGTGGATGGCCCGGCTTATCCAGTGCTCCATGCTGATGCTCCCCTCCCGGCTCGACGAGGTTCCCCCGCCACCTCCTCCGTCCTCTTCTTCGCCATCTCCTCCCTCCTCTTCCTCACCATCACCCTGTCCCTCGCCCTCTGAGCCTGAGGAGGTATCTGAGGAGGAAAACAGACGATGGAGGTGGAACAAAAACTCTGTTTATGCAGCCGAAAGATCAAAAGAACATCAAGACAAAATGTTTTTTATCAGAAGTTATTTTTAAAGGTTATATAACATTTAAAACATTAATATAGCAGCAAACAAGGACGTCCCTTTGCATGTGTTGCTCGTGCAGCCTCTGTGTGGGTTGTAGTTATGATGTTACAGTGATATGAAAGGTAAAATTTGTGTTTTTGTCTATGGAGTCTGGTGGAGAGTGATAGTGATATTACGGCTGTTTCTGGTTAAACTAAAGGTCTATCTCTGTAGGGATCTTTTC